TAGTCTCCCTTAAAAAAGGAGATTTTAAGGTCTAATTTTTTTACCTATATATATTTATACATTCCACTCAATTAATGTGATTTATTTATTTTCTATTATAAGTTTTATATCGTGATATATATCGTTACCGCCACCCATCATAATGTATATCGTGATATGAATTTTTTGCCATATCGCACATTCCTATGCCCAACCCTATTTACTGTATATAGAAAGAACAACAAAGGCACCAAGACTGATCCTTGTGGAACGCCACAAGTTACAGGAGTTGAATTAGACAGTTTCCAATTGTCACTGTGAAACTTTTTTCAGTTAAATATGATGACCACTGTAATAGTGAGCCAGACGAGCCTACCCAATTATTTAACCTGTTATGACATGATGATCTACAATATCAAATGCAGAGCTGAGGTCAAGCAATACCAAAACTGAACAATCACCTACATCACAAGACATAACCTGATCATTTGAGATCCTCAACCGTGCCGTCTCTGTAGAATGCTGTTTCCGAAAACCAGACTGATACTTGAAATCAGAGATCAAACTTTTGCAAAGCAGCAGTGAGCTGCTACTGTCTCTAGAATTTTAGACATAAAGGGGAGTTTGGATATTGGTCTGTAATTAAGCACTGCAGAATCCAAGATGGTTTTTTTTCATTAGCAGCTGAACAAGGAATACAGCCTGAAGCCAGTGAGGAGTTTATAAGAGCTAATAATGCAGGGTCACTGCAATCACAGCTCCTATGTTTGGCTGGATTCGTAGTTCTTTTTTTGTCCCCCATCGCCAAGGCAGGGACTTGGAAATGCTCTCCATCCATCCATCAGTCCGTTTGTTCGTTACCATTTCAGACAGCTGTAACTTCCACACAGAAAGGCTAAACTACAACAAATTTGGTTAAGAGTCATCCATGTTGCATGCCCGACCATACCTTGTGGTCACATGACATCAACAAAGCCCCACCCCATCACAACAGGAAGTGACCTTTTTTTTTTTGAAAGCTCCATCTCTGACCCTCTTGACCTAATCTGCAACAAATTGTGTTAGAACAAAGATAAGAACTTGATCTCACTTGCTTTCAAGCACAAAGACTTTTTAGAGAAAGTCGTGGTCATGGCGGTGTGGCGAAGTCAGACATCACACCATTGACATACGTTTGGCTCTAAATTCCACATATTTCAGCCAATCTGCACCCAGTTCAAATAGGATCGATCCTAATCCATCCCACTACTGGAATGCAGTCCACTTTTTGGAGGGCGTGGCCTAATTAGACACCAAGCCGTTGAAAAACAGTTGGCTCTAAACCACACATACTTGATCCGATCTGAACCAAATTTTGTGAGCATCATCAGGGAGACCAGCTCAACAAGTTTGAGTAGTAGTTTGACAAGATCACTTTAGCCCCCCCATCCATCCATCTGTTCACCTTTAGATAATTACAATAATGAAGTCCTGTGATGATTCCAACAAAACTGCTAACAGTTGGTCACTACTGGGGGACATCAATGATGGTTGGCGTTGAATTCGTTCTTGTTTATTTTTTAAGGAAGTTATTGAGACTGTGTACTCTCCTCTGCAGGTGTGTCATCTGTATGATGGACTTTGTTTATGGAGACCCCATCCGGTTCCTGCCCTGCATGCACATCTACCACATGGACTGTATAGACGATTGGCTGATGAGGTCCTTCACCTGCCCCTCCTGCATGGAGCCTGTGGACGCTGCACTGCTTTCCTCCTACGAGACCAACTGACACAAACACCTCCCCCCCCGGACCCAAACACATCTCTGAACACACTCAGTACACTAAACTTCCACCTTTCCTAACTTATATCCTGGATTAGTAAGATTGTGTTTTTGAAGCAGTGAATCGTTAAAACCATCTAGAATGAATTCTGTTATATGTTTGATTGTAAAGCTGTGTGTGCGTGCGTGTGTACATGAGTGTGTTTGTGCATGCACACTCTTCCTCAGTTGGCCTGCTGGACAGGACTCCATCTGAGAAAGGACAAGCAGGAGGAAGCCACGGTTGGAATGAAAGATGAGCATTGAAAGGCAGGAAGTGTGCACATAGTGTGTGACCAAGAATACATGGTGATTAATTCATGATTCAGAAACTTTGTTTCCGCTTTCAAATTTGGTATCCTTTTGTTTACTTCCCATTAGTGACATGTGAATAGAAGACACCCGACCTTCATCAAAGAGCTGCAGATGGTGTTTCTTGGACTCTTATTGATGATGGTTGTGATCAAAGGAAACATTAAAAGAGATCACCTTCAGGAGATCCATAATTGCTAAGTGTACTAGGGTGGAGACTACCGATCCTTGGAGCTAAGATGCTCCAGGCCTCCTGCTGTTTTCAACACACTCATCTTGATTGGTCTCACTGTATAGATCCTCTTCTGTGGAAAAATGACCGGTTGATAGGTTGGTTTACTGTCCTGTGGCTTTGTGAAAATATTTTTATTTTGCAAAAAGGAAAAAAAATCAAGGGCTTTATTGAATCTGTTGATCAAGATGACAAAAGGAAGTCAGTGTGTTACGATCTGGTAAACGGTCGCTGGTAAAGTTCTGTCTGTCCATAGCACAACCGTATAAAACATGAATCAAAACAAGAGATTTGCTATTTTCAATCACAGCTTTGACCGAATCAAATGCTCTCAGCAGTTATGTCAACATGAAGTATCAGATTGATTAAAGATGTATTTTATTGTATTAAAAACCGGAAAAGTAGGGTTTGTTTTATTAGAGGTGACTTAACTGAATAATTTAATTTTAAGGTTTATGTCTTTTTATTTTTGTTAACTGGCTGAAAAAAAACATTTTAACCCAATTAATTTTTTTTAAACATTGGGTTTGTTTTGATGCAGTGCACATACAGAGGTTAGACAATGAAAGTGAAACACCTGGTTTTAGACCATAACATCCCTTTCAGACAGCTTCCTCTTGTGTCCACAGTTAATCCTGTTGGATGTGGTTGGTTCTTCTTGGTGGTATGCTGACATTCCCCTGGATAATGTGACTCTTGATACATCACAAAGACTTGCTGTCTTGGTCACAGATGCACCAGCAAGACGTGCACCAACAGTTTGTCCTCTTTTGAACTCTGGAATGTCACACATAATGTTGTGTGCATTGCAATATTTTTGAGTAAAACAGTGTTCTTACCCTGCTAATTGAACCTTCACACTCTGCTCTTACTGGTGCAATGTGCAAATAAAGACTGGCCACCAGGCTGGTCCAATTTAGTCATGAAACCTCCCACACTAAAATGACAGGTGTTTCAGTTTCATTGTCTAATCCCTGTATAAGCTGTGAGTAAAACAAATAGTCCAGTTTTGTTACCTTATCGACATGAGAATGGTGATAAGCGGGAACATAGTGCATATTTCTGAGGATGCTGCTTGATCTAATCAGATGTTCTCAGTTTAAATTTGTTTTATGCTTATTATTTATCAAGAGGTCTTATTGATCTCCCTGCCTGGTTTGTACATTTCTCATGTAACCAGCACCAAAAGCACAAAAAAATAAAATAAAATCAACTTGCTCAGTTGGACTTTCTCTCCCATCTCCCAACCACCTTCAGCATGAGTTAGCCTGTGTGGGAGAATGTACAGGAAACCATTCATGCTTCTGCTCAGAGACTTGACTTGATCTAACGTCATGCTGTTAGTTAATGGTTAACGTGCGCGTATTTGAGGAAGTGTACGGGTGGTTTTGGCAAAGTTGGCTGCAGTCAGCACTTTTTTTTTTGCACAGCGCCATTTTACAGAGGTCTATAAAGTACTTGAAAAAAATAACTAAATAAAAGTTAAAATACCTTAACAGAAAATGACTTTGGTAAAAATAAATTTCACTGATGAGAAAAGTACGTAACTGTTCACAAATATCAGGAAAGTAAAAGTAATTTTACTTGCTCTAAGAAAAAAAACTGTTTAATTTACTTAACCAAACTCAGTAAATTGAGGTAATTTACATTATTTTATGAAGAAAATATGATCATATTACTCCACTAGGTTTAGTGAAACCAATTGACATTTAACAGTTCATTTTTTTAGAGCATATAAACTACTAATTTCATGAGTTCAGACATTTTGTAAAAGAGTAACTAATTGTAAAGAAGTAAATGTATAATTTTTAGGTTTTAAATGTAATGAAATAAAAGTAAAAGTAACGATTAAAAAATACTTAGTAAAATTACAAATCCTCAATAAAAATTACATAAGTACTAAAACCTCTGCCATTTTATAGTTCTATGTTCTGCATCAAAACCTTGCATTGTCTGCTGGTGGGGAGGGTGCACAAAGTTCAGATCACAAATGCTGGAATGGGTTGTAGATTTTATAGACGAATCAAAGTGGAATTATTCATCATAGCTCTTAAAATCTGTTTCACACAAAAAAATCACCTGCAGACTTGTGTCGAAGTGTTTTTTTTTCCCCTTCAGTTTGATTGTGTAAGCTGCACATGCTGCTCAGTGTGGCTCTGACATATTTATATTTGACCAAAATGTGCCCCCCCCCCC